TCACAGGTCTTTTTCCAGATTGTGTTCTCTGCTCTTTGGTCACTTCCTCAGAACCTCTTGGGACAGAAGCTGTGGGTTGAAATAGAGTCTTTTTGTATAGTCCAGGCTGTCCATATGCTCATGATTGTCCTGCCTCAGCCTCCTGAGAGCCAGGATTGCAGGCCCCAAGCCCATCCCCAACTTCAGTATAACATTTTTGATCACTGCCTCAGCTTTGGTTATGGCTTCGGAAGTTGCCACATTGGAAGCCAGTTCACCAGCTTACAAAAGTTCACGCTAGCTAGTTTTCCCTTCATTGTTAGAATTAGTTAGTATTTCTTCACTTGAACACCAGATGAAATAATTGTATGCAATTAGGGGGCCGTGGTATGGAAAGATCACTAATTTTTTTTTTTTTTTTGGTACCAGGGATCAAACTCTGGTCCTTGAGCCTGCACAACAGGCGACGAAACCACTGAGCTAAATCCCCGGCCCAAGATGGCTAATTTTTTAAACCTCAGATCCTCTTGGGGGTGAGCTGCTCATGTTGTGTGAGGCACCGGTGCTGTGGCAGATTCCCAGGCACCAGGTGGTGGCAGAGAGGAGCCTTGTATTGTGGAAACAGCCCTTTCCTTTCCCCTCTCGTTTTCAGTGCGTTTGGTGACTTTGGGCTGACAAATGCCCATGTGATAGAACCGTGCTGTAATGGAACTTGACGAGCTAGTCAGTTAGTTATTGATGAATGGAAACTTCACCGGAGTGGAAAGCCTCCATGTTTTGCTGTATTTCTTACATCTTGAGGTTCTATAAATATACTAGAGCAGCCAGGCATGATGGTACATGACTGTAATCCTAGCACCCAGGAGGCTAAGCAGGAGGATCACTGCAAGTTCAAGGCCAGCCTGGGCCCAAGGCCAGCCTGAACTACATAGTAAGACCTTGTCTCAAAAAAACAATAAATAAATAAATAAAACTAGAATGACACATAATTCACAAAGGGATTTTAGAAAATGGATGCTATTTTGAAGATATTCTCTGCAGTTTCCTTTTTTCTCCAACATATTCATAAAATATTGAGATGATATTTTGCCATATTCAGTAGATTGCTTGTGGTGTTAGGAATCACATTTAATAACATCCTGCTCTGTTTGTGACTGCAGGATTTTTTATTGGTGGTCCCTCTAACATGATCAGCTCAGCCATTTCTGCGGACCTGGGTCGCCAGGAGCTGATCCAAGGCAGCAGCGAGGCTCTGTCGACCGTCACGGGCATCGTCGATGGGACTGGGAGCATCGGCGCTGCTGTGGGCCAGGTGAGGGCACCAGAGGGTGGGACCCCATCAGATGGAGGTGCACTCGAGCACTGTGGCGTTCCAGTAGCCTTAGGTTTGCCCTTTCCTCCATGGTCCTGCTGATATGGCCCAACATGGAAGGCCCTCTGCCTGATTGAGTTGCTCCTTTTGACTTTGACTTCCAGATTCTTTTTAACTTCTAAGACTGACCCTCCTGTCCAAGCTACTGCCCCCTTTGCCTAGGCTGAGTGTGGCACTCAGAGGGACACATGAGACACACATGCTTCTTATGCCCACCTGCGTGCAAACCCTGCCTGTCCTCCTCTCTCCAGGGTCCCTCTTGTCCCTCTTCCAGACACTGGTTACACACGCTCCTTACCTACATCCCCACTACGCATGCCTATGGATTCTAGCTGCCTCTGACTTGCAGTTTCCCGGATGTCCCGGAATCTCTGACTGCTTCAGAGGGTGGGACACAGAGCTCACTGCAGACTTGCTCGATGGAGCCTGAGATCTGTTTCCCAGCCCTTTCTGGGGATTCTTCTGTGGTCTGACATCAAGGGCCTCTGAGGAGCCCAGATTGCCTACCATGTGCAGCCAGTATGACTCGAACTGCCCATTCTGGCTCACATTCAGGCCTTCTCAGAGGCATCTCTTGTTTAGAACACTCGGGAGATGTGCCTCTCCTGGCTGTAGCAGTCAGGGCCGTGGGGTGCTAACTTTATAAATCTGGGAGCCACCTGCATGGATAAAATAGCCAAACCCTTGGAAGTGGATAAGGCCTTCAGTGGGAAAAAGCAGTGCCCAGGGGCCGGGTATTTAGCTCAATGGTTCCACTGCCTGCCTCGCAAGCACAAGGACCCGAGTTCAATCCCCGGTACCAAAAAAAAAAAGAGTAGTGCCCAGTGGTCAGGAGGCAGGAAGCTACCGAGGTCATGGGTAGTCAAGGGGACTGTTAGGGTCACAGTTCGTGAGGACCTTGGTAGAGAGAGGTCAGAAGTTACCGAAGTTCTTGGGTCAGAAGGACTGAAGTTCTTCATGCTGACATCCAGGAGGTCATGAATGGCTGCTCAGCTTGCTTGGAGGTGATTGGATGTGGTTAGCGAGAAAGTTGGGATGGAAGAGAAGTGAACCATCTTTATTCCTACCCCACCGAGCCCTGCAGGTTGCAGTCATTGCTGTGTCTGTGTGTCCCACATAGAGTAAACTTCGTGAGCATGGTGGTTTGGCTTGTGTGCTGCTGTGGCCCTCGTACCTGTAGCCAAACCTGCCCCACAGTAAACAGTCCAATGTTTATTGAATGATTGCGGAATGAAGGAATGATGCATTGACATGCTTACCATACTTTCTTACATGACTCAAAGGCAAAAATTTTTAAAGTGCTTAGCAGAGTTTGGAGAATTACATACCTATTCACACTCTGGTGTAGAAATATGAATACACTGATGATTACCAGGTCAGAAGTCTTCCTATTTGAAGTGAAGCTGTACTGGGCTTCCTTTTCCCACACACTGTATTTTAGCTATCTTTTCTCACTAATGTTTTCTTCCTTAACTAAATGGGCAAATTGGAATGAGCATTTTGGGGCACTTGCCTTGATTTAGAATATCTCACTGGTCACCAGCATTAGGTCCTGTGCTGTGAACACGGTCAGCATTAGCGACATCCTGTCAGAAAGTGCATCAGGGTCATCGTTGGCTGTTCGCATTCCTCCTCTGCACTGATTTCTGAGCTATTTCCTGTTGCCTGTGGGGTGAAATCACAGACCCCGCTACTTGAGATTAAAACTATCAGCCTTGCCCTCCCCCCCCATACCCCTGAGTAACTTGGGTGCCTCTACCTTTCCTGCCTCCTCAGGAAATTATTCATTGTTCTTTCCTCCCTGTTGCCATTGCAATTGATGCAAACCTCCAACACATATGTGGTCAGTTGATTTTCTTCTCTCGCCTTTTTTTTGGTACTGGGGATCGGACTCGGGTCCTTGCGCTTGCCACAGCAGGCGGTGAAACCACTGAGCTAAATCCCCGGCCCTGGTCAGTTGATTTTCAACAAGGGCGCCATGGCCATTCAATGGGGAAAGAATGTTCTCTTCAACAAAAGATGTAGGGAAAGCTGGGTATTAAATCCAATGGATATCCATAAAAGAATGGAGTTGGACTGACCCTTGCCTTATATGATACAAAAATTAACTCCAAATGGATTAAAGACCTAACTTTATAAAGTAAAAGTATAAAAGTCTTAGAACAATACAGAGATACAAATCTTCATTACAAATACTATATATACAAATAGCCAGTAGGCACTCAAAAAATTCTCAACACCCTTATTCATTAGAAAAATGCAAATTAAGAATACAGTAAGGTAGGACTTCATACCTTCTAGAGTGGTATAATTAAAAACCGTGAGATAATAAGCATTGGTGATAATGTGGAGAAATCAGACCACCACACTGCTCATGAGAATGTAGACTGGTGCTGCTGCTGTGGGAAATTCCTTGGTGGGTCCTCAGAAAAATAAAAAATTAAGCATAGAATGACCATATCATATGATCCAATAATTGCACTCCTAGATAAATACCCAAAAGACTTGAAAACAGGGACTCAAGTATTTGCGCACCAATGTTCATTGCAGTATTACTCATGGTGACTAAAAGTTGGAAACAACTCAACAAACATGATGAATGAATAAATAAGCTATGGTGTGTTCCCTACAGTGGGGTACTCTTCGGTCCTGAACAGGAACGAAATTCTAATACATGCTTACAACATGGTTGAACCTTGAAAATATTATGCTGAGTGAACTAAGCCAGACACAAAAGAACCAAATTACATGATCCCACTTACGTGAAATACCTAGAATAGGCAAATTCATAGAGCTAGAAAGCAGATTAGAGGTTGCCAGGGGCAGGGCAGGGGATGATGAAGAGTCACTGCTTACCAAGTGTAGGTTTTCTATTGGATAATGAAAAAATTTTGGAAATAGTGGCAATGGTTATACAGCATTGTGAATGTACTACCTTTAAAAATGATTAAAATGGCAAGTTTTATGTTAGATATATTTTACTATAATAAAAGAAAATGGGTTAAATGCTACTGGGCTCTTTGCAGTAACTGAAAGTAAAGCAGAAAAGGTGCTGTCAAATGGGGCAGTAGTAGTCCAGGAATCCTGTGAGCCAAAGATGACGGAAAGTGAGCAGACCCCGCAGGCAGCATCTGCTGTGGCGCCTCTGCCTGGGAGACTGGTAAAGCCGGATGGCTTGAGGGTGCTCATCCTCCTCTCTGTGGTGATGTGACCCAGGACACGCCCTCTGAGCCCACACCTTCTGCCACACGGTGTTTGGTTGAGGACTCCAGGTTGCCAGGATGAGCCGGTGCTGCTGCGGGGTCAGCTGGGACAGCTGTGGAAGGGCTTCTCGACCGCAGGGCATGGTCCAGTCCCTGACACCCTTCTTGATTGCTGAAATAGCAGTGCTTTTCAGCCACTTCATTTTATTAGTTTCCAAAGAATTACACTGTGATTTCTTTCTCTCCCTTTTAGTATTTGGTGTCTTTGATCCAGGACAACCTAGGCTGGATATGGGTTTTCTACTTTTTTATTCTCATGGTAAGTGTGCTTTTTAAGTTTTTTTAACTAGTCATATTTCTTAGTAGTTTAATTTAGAGCATTTTCCTCTGTCACTTCTAGAAACCAGCAAAATTACTGACTGCTTTTAAAGACCTTTTTGCAAAGTAATATTCCTAAGCCTAAAAGACAGTCTTTTCTCAGGGAGGGGAAGGGTTCTCAGTTTGCCCTTGACTTGAGTCCAGTGAGTATTGCCATTTATAATTCCAGAAAAATAGGACTTCCTTACAGGTCACCAAGCATTGGTCCCTGTGCTTTTCTCACACGTGGTCTCTGCTAAATATAATTATGGATTGTGAAGGGAATTCTAGTGCGTGCCAAGCCACACAGAGTTAACTGTAGCTGATGCTTCTGTGTGTGGGCTCTGAAATGATGGTGGTCTCGGAGGAGATAGTTGTCATGCTGCGCCCGTTCTCAGCTTCAAGTCTGTACTTCCTGGGAAATGGCCAATACAGAAAAAGGCCTGTGCTTTTAAAATGTTGCCTTCTGGTCAGCTTGGTGGCACATATCTGTATTTCTAGCACTCAGAAAGCTGAGGCAGGAGGATTGTGAAGTCAAGGCCGGCCTAGACTGTGGAGTGGGACCTTATCTTGAAAAACCAAAAAAAGTTCCCTTCTGTTGAATAGGTGTATGACATACTCTGCCACATTATTGTTGGGATAGTACCCACAGCAGGTCTGCCCAGTTCAGTGTGCTGTCCTTAAGTCTAGGCCATCCTGACTGGGGACAGCTCCCCTCTGAGCTGGCACAAGGAACCCTGGGTCAGTCTGACTCCAGGAAGTCCCTAGTGCAGTCTCCTCCTTGCCTGTGGCTTCCGGAGTCCATGCTGTACCCTGCTCTTCCACTCCTGATGCTCCTCCTTTGGGAGGACAGTGCCTTCTGATGATGGGGACTTTTGTAGAAAACAACCTGGTCTACTAGCAGTTACCTGCTTTCCATCCACACGCTGACAGTTTTTGTTCGGCCTGTGTCCATCATATACTTTAGTTTTTTTGAGGGGGGGGTTGGCAACTAATGTGACATTAAGTATTGTGTGGTATTAAGTATAATTTTCAAAAGTCATTTTCTAATCCACTGAAGGATAAAAGTTATCTTTTAATTGCCCAAATCCATTGTTACGTTGCAAACATGAATCCCTGACAGGAATGGTTGTGCACGTTTCTCACTCCTTCTCTTCACAGACGAGCTGTACAATTCTGTTTATCTCCCCACTGATCGCCAGGGAGGTCGCCTCTCTGGTGCAGAGGAGACAAGCTCACGTATTGAGCGAGTGACTGGTGCTCACGAGGAGAAAAGGACAGTGGGAACACACAAGGACTGTCAGGTCTTGGGCCGTCTCCGTGCCAGCTTAACCTCAGCTTGGGAGGCCTCACTGCTGCTGGCCACCCGGGACACCTGCCAGCAGGAAGGCTGTGCTGTTTTTCTACACTACAGAATGACTGTGATAGCTTCTATTGTTGTGTCCTGAATGTACTGAGTGGCGTGAGAAGCCGCCAGCATCCTCACTTGGCTTGCGGTTTGTTCCTGTAACCTTAATTGTCCCAGCCTTGGAGCTTGTTCACCAGCCTCGAGACTTGAGGAGGCAGAGCCATGCGTGGTCTGTACCCAAGATGAATAGAAGGGCCATCGAGTTTGCTTGGGTAATACGTTTGCAGAGCACGGCTCACCTTTGAAGCATTAATCATGATGCAGCCGGGGCTCCAGCTGATCGAGCTATGAGCCTGCCTCTGGTAAAGAACGCCTTACCGCCTAGGTGGGGGAGACCACTACCTGCCTGCTCTCCATCTCCAAGGCAACCGCTCTAGAAGCAGACACATCTTCGTTTACTGGCGACTTGTTCTCCTCTGACTCCTCGCAGATGACTTTGGCTCCTGACGTGTTTGGTCTTTCTCTGTAATGTTCAGTGTCGTCTTGACCATTCCATTGTGTGGCCCTCAACCCCGGATCTGTGGCCTGGGGACTGTGGGGTCCTCTGGGAGGTAATCCTCGGGTCCCTGTTTTGGGAGGATGGATCTCTGTCACAAGCAGGTTCCTGGAGTTGACCTCAGCAGAAGACTAGAATTAGAGAAGGGGAGAGACGTGTTGTCCCAGAGGTGTGAACTGTGTGTGATGGGTCACGTTGGTGGTTCCCAGGGCCCAAGAGGTGTCTCTTCTTTCAAAGGTGTTGAGTAATATGTCTCTAAGGCTGTAGATTTGATATTAATCAGTACGGGCTGGGGATTTAGCTCAGGGGTTCCGCCACCTGCCTCGAAAGCGCAAGGTCCTGAGTTTGATCCCTAGTACCAAAAAGAAAAGATATTAATCAATATGTTAAGATCACTTTATGTATATTTTAAATTATGTAAACAAATTAGAAAATGTGCAATTTTGAGGGATACATTGGGTTAGGGAATATTTTTTTCAATCTCTTACCTTATTCTCTGAAATGTGGTTTGTTGATGAACTTGTTAATGTTATTTAATCATGCAGGTTTCTGGTCACTTTATCCATCATTTATTGACATAAAGGAAAAATATGAAACACAGGAAGAGAAAACAAACTGACTTTTGTAATAAATATCTCTTCTTTTGGTTATTTAAACCTCTGCTATGAGCTTTGCAATTTATTTATTTTATTTTCATTGTGGTGCTGGGGATTGGACCCAAGGCCTGCCATGTGCTAAGCTGGCCCTGTGCTCAGCTCTGGCCCTTGAGATTCTGCTGCCTTTCTGCTTCAGGTGCCGAGTGTCACTGGGGCATAGGCGTTGATCCCACAGCCTTGCCAGGCCACGCAGCTGTCCTCACCCCTGGCCTCAGTTCCCTGGGCTCCACAAGGAGGTCTCCTTGCCCTGGGTGGAAGCCGGTGCTGTTTGGATGAGTTGCCCGCTTGTGCTTTAAGACCAGTCTAGGCCAGTGGTGGTAAATCTACAGTATGTGTGCCCCAGCAGGCTGTTTTTATCACTGATAGCTCTAAAAGGTTCGCTATCACTAGTCTAGGTGAACTCTGCCTTATTATTGACCCTCTTGATACCATATGGCTCAGTTTCCTGTCCCTGTCATCATCAACAAGGTTGAGTCTTTGTACCGTGACACCACCCAGTGTTTCTCACCCAGTGCACCCTTGGTGTGTGGGTTCCCTTGACTTCTCTGTCCTCTCAGCTGTACCTGATGTGAAATTAGAAATTAGCACTGGAGGAAACGAAATATTGCTCTGTGGATGTATTTCCTGTTCTTGTTCTGCCAGTCTATGCAGGAATTAACTTCAGCAAACACCTAAAAGTTAACCTCACCTTTTTATTTTTTCCTTTTAAGAAGAGGACATACTGAAAGCCCATTTGAAAAATGCATCCTCTGCCAAATTAAAATAATTTGGAAAAATATAAAGCACAGTGGGAAGCTTTTATACGTAAAGGATTATTGGATATGAAAAATTGCCTTTCAAGTGCCTCATGTTCTGAAAGTAAAAATAATAATTAAAAGTTCTTTAAATAACAATTAACCAGTAAAGAAAAAGAGTATCTTTGTATGTGTGAGCGTGTGGTTCAGGGCCTCCCACAAGCCAGATGCTTGATCCCTGATCACACTCCCAGCCCCAGAGTGCTGCTGTTTTTTTGTTGTTTGGTTTTTTTTTGTTTTCGTGGTACCAGGGATGGAACGCAGGACCTTGTGCTTGAGAGGCAGGTGTGGCGCCACTGAGCTGAATCCACAGCCCGTGTTGTTTGGTTTTTTGAGACAGTCTTGCTAGTTCAGGCTGGCCTTGAACTCACTGTGTAGTCCAGGCTGGCCTCAGACTTGTAGCAATCCTCCTGCCTCAGCCTCTGGAGTGCTGGAATTACAGGCATACGCTAGAGTGTTTCTTGAGGGTCACTTCCTAAGGTAGCAGAGTCCTGTAGGTGACACTCATGAAAGAGCTGTTTGAAGGCCTAGCCCACCTCTAGGTGTCAGGTGGCTGGAGAATGCAGGGGTTAAAGCCATTTCTTACCTCCACTCACTCTTTTGACTGATGTCCTGTCTCTCTTTTCACAAGCCCCTTTCGACACTGGGCGGTGTCTGCTGCCTTCCTGGCTGCTCCACTGACTTCCTCCTCAGCCAGGTGACTGTGAGTGTGTTCTCCCAGAACGGGCCTGGTTTCTGCTATCCTGTTCTGCATAGTCATCAATAGCACCCCTTCCGCTCTGAGGGGCTCCAGCTTTTTTCTTCTCTGGACTAGAGATTGAACCCAGGGCCTGTACTTGCTAGGCAAGCACTCTCCCACTGAGCTATGCCCCCAACCTTTTTTTTTCCTTTTTATTTTGAGACAGAATCTTTCTAAGTTGCCTATGCTGGGCTTTTGTTTGCCATCCTCCTGCCTCAGGCTTCTGAGTAGCTGGGATTACAGGCATGCGCTATCATGTTTGGCACCTTAGTCTCAACTTCCAGCCTTTTTCCTCAGATGCCAACATCTAAAAGTCATTGAATTTGGAGATTTCCTTTCCCCATTCATTGCCTTTTGGATAGGAAGGTTTTTTGTGTTTTTTTGTTGTTTTTTTTTGAGACAGGGTCTCCCTATGTAGCTCAGGCTGGCCTTGAACTTGCTATGAGGTCCAGGTTGCCCTTGAACTTGTGCCAGTCCTGCCTCCATCTCCCGAGTGCTGGCATTACAGGTGTGTGCCACCGCACCCAGCAGTCATTGCCTATTTTAAACTTTATTTTTTGGTACCAGGGATCAAACTTGGGACCTTTGGGTTTCAAGGCAGGTGGTGGCACCACTGAGCTAAATCTCCGGCCCATTTATTTATTTATTTATTTTGGTATGGGGGATTGAACTCGGGACCTTGTGTTTGTGAGGCAGACTGAGATAAATCCCTGACCCAAACTTTTCTTGTACTTGACACTGGAGACCACCTCATCTTTCCCAAGACTTTTTTCCTTTAGCTTCTATGACATTTTATTTTAATTTTACTTTATTTTATTTATTGAAACAGGGTCTCACTACGTAGTTCAGACGGTCCTTGAACTCACTATGTAGCCCAGACTGGCTTCAAACTCACAGTTATTCTCCTGCCTCCACCTTCTGAGTGTGGGATTACAGGCATATGCCACCGTGCCCAGCCTTCTAAGGCATTTTATTTTTTTTATTTTTTTGTACCGGGGATCGACGGGTCCTTGTGCTTGCGCAGCAGTCGGCAGAACCACTGAGCTAAATCCCTGACCCATAAGACATTTTATTACTATTTTTGGTTTTTTAAGACAGGGTCTTGTGGGCCAGGGATTTAGCTCAGTGGTTTTGCTGCGTGCTACACAAGTGCAAGGACCCGAGTTCGATCCCTGGTACCAAAAAAAAAAGGGTCTTGCTATGTAGTGCAGGCTGGTCTTCGAACTCACTTTGTATCCCATGCTGGCTCCTAACTCACAGTGATCCTTCTGCCTCAGCCTCCCAAGTGCTGGGATTATAGGTGTGCCCACCACACCTGGCTTTCTCTGCTTTCTGTGGCATTTTCATGTATTGATTCTCCTTACCTCCCCTCCCCTTTCCCGGGTTCTCTTTTGTTAACCTTTGCTGGTTTCCTTTTTATAAAGGGTGTCACTGACTTTCCTTATTGAGCTCTTTTACAGTGTACCAATCACTCTGTTAAATCCTCAGTGACTACTGGAGATTTAGCTCAGTGGTTTCGCCCGCCTGCTGCTGTGCAAGCTCAAGGACCCGAGTTTGATCCCCTGTACCAGAAATAAATAAACAAACAAGCAAACAAATAAATAAATAAATCCTCAGTGACTAAGAAGCCACCAGGGAGAGATAGGTCAGGTAGGGACAACTGTCGGGTGTCATGGGACAACTGAGCAGGTGTCATGGAGAGAAGTGGGCCTGACCCATGTAACTCAGCCCCCTCTCACCCATGATCACCCTGCCAGTTGCCTGCATGAATGGCCCTCACGTCTTTAAAGTCATGAATCCTTCTGAAGACCTGAAAGACACTAGCCCTCTCTCCAGATCTCAACACACATGTAACAGTTTCATTATGGGGTGTCCGTGGGCCAAGTGTGCAGCCTGTCCTTCCGATGCACAGTTTGGAATCTGGGCCCCTGTGGCCAGCTCTGTCCTCTCCCGGTCCTGGGCGTCTCTCTTCCTGCAATGCCATTTTTACTCTCTGATCTCTGAATCTTCGTTTTCAAGGCCTGGCCAACACCATCTGGTCTAAGAAACCTTTCCCAGCCCTCCATCATCTCTCCGTGCTTGGGTTGTCACATCAGTGTTCCTTTTCTGGTCCTGCTTGGGTGTCCGGCGGCATCCCCTGAGACTGTTGGTCTCATGTGGGTGGTGCTGGATAGAGTTGGAGGAGGTGGGGAGAGAAGGGGGAGGGAGAGGAGGGGGAGGAGGAGGAAGCGGGCAGCCCAGGTAACACCATCCTCCTGCCACAGCTGCCCGATCATCAGAGCCTGTGACTTTGCCTTTTCCTGGGGTGTCAGCAGCAGGGAGTTGGGGTGCCATTGCAGCTCTGTGCTCAGGCTGCTCTCTGTCCCCTGCTGTTTCTCCTGGCCTGTGTCTTCCTCCTGGCCACCCCCTGCCATGTCCTTGTCTTTATCACCCCGCTGGTGGGTGGTTCCCCTTCCTTCCCAGCCTTCTAGATCGCTTATCTTAGACTACACAGCGGCCAGGCCCCAATCCGTTTTACTGCCTGTGTTCTCCGGTTGTTTCTGGCTAAGTCACTTCCTCAATTAAACAGCAAGTGGCACCAGAGTCGGTGATGTTGTGACCTCATGTCCAAGGACACAGAGGCCGTTGGATCAGGACAGGCAGATTCGCCTTCCCCGCTGTGTCTTTTGTACATTCATGCTCAGGCTCAGGCTCCTCTCTTTCCCTTCGCTCCTATGCAGTACTGGTTTGTCTCAGCACGTGTCTGGAAGTCAGCTATACCAGCTGGCTTACGTAGTTATGAGAAGCTAATATGTTACAGTGTGTTTGAAGTACATGTATATAACATAGTTACACATGTACTTATGAATGATTAAATCTCACATTTGAAGAATTCTCTACCTGGACACCTGGTGGTCTTTGCATCATTAAAAAAATGCCATGCCAAGTATGGTGCACACCTCTGATCCCAGCACTCTGAGAGGCTGAGGCAGGAGGATTGCAAGTTTGAGCCCAGCCTGGGTGACTTAGACCCTGTTTCAAAGTGAAAAATAAAAAACGGGTCTAGGGATATAGTTCCATTTGAAGGCCCTGGGTTCAATCTCCAGTATCACAGAAAAACCCACAAACATCTCGTATGTGTGCACATCTTTTAACATCTCCGTCCCGTTCCCTGTCTGGCCCTACTGGCCTTCCAGGTTGATGGAGAGTGCCGAGACCCGGCAGGTGAGTGCTCTCCCGGGGTCCTGTGACCCAGCAGGTGCTGGAAGCAGAGCTAAGCAGACACTAGGCCTTCCAACCCCAGCGTGGCCATGATGCCATGCAGCACCCCTGTCCTGACTCCAGGGCTCAGCTTCTAGGGTGCACTGGTGCCGGGGGCCCAAAGGGTGGGCAGAGCTGCCAGGGAGAACGCATGTGAAGATTCCCACACCTGAAGCTGGGCTCAGGCCCCAAGCTGCAGGGTCTTAGCCTCACTCTACAGTGGCTTTCTGC